CCCCCCGCCCCCCCAGCCGCTCCCGCGTGCAGTGCGTCTTTGATGTCAGTGGCACCCTGGCCCCTGAGGACGCCTCACTCGTCTACTTCCCCAAGCGCTACGGCTCCCACTCCAGCATGAAGTACAACCCCCGGGAGAGGCAGATCTATGCCTGGGATGATGGCTACCAGATCATCTACCGCATGGAGATGAAGAAGAAGCTGGAGGTCTGAGGGCCATGGCTGGGCATCCCCGCACATCTGGCCACCTCGCCCAAGCAAGTGCGGCTCTGCCCCTCCCACCCCACGGGGCACAGCTGGCCCCGGCGTGGGACAGCATCTCTGCCTTGTCTCCCATCACTGCGAAATGATGAAATGCTGGACCCCCACCCCCAGACACCCTCCACCCACTGGCACCAGGTGTCCCTGCCCAGGACCACCCTGCAGAAACCTGGACTAATTTAATGAGATTTTCTTCTCTGTGATATAATGAATAAATACTATGCAGCGAGCTGCAGACACGTGCTTGGAGGGAGCGCGGAGTGCCGGGGCCAGGCTGTCAGAGCCATGAGCTCCACATTGCCCCAGATTCACCCCAAAAGACACTTCCCAAGGGTGGGGTGTCCATTCAGGGCTGGCCAGCAAGCGCACAAGGCTCCTTGGGTTGGGGGGCTGGGTTGGGGGGACTGACCTGGGGCTTTGGCCAGGGGCTTTGGGCTGGGATTTGTGCTGGGTCTTTGGGCAGGCTTCTGCTGCAGCAAGGCGACCTCTGAGCGTGGCCTGGGCCAGCCTGTTTTGCATGTGCAAAACTGTGAGCAAACAGCAAAATTCCTTCATCTGAGAGGACAACTGGAGATTGTACTCATGTGCTGGGGGGTGTCGCAGCCAGCCAGCACCGGGTGTTGCTGATTTTCCGAGTTGAATTCCAGTGAAACACAGTTGTCTTCCCCCTGCAGCTGCAGAATTGTCACAAACCCTTTACGTAGGGCCCTGGGTCCCACAGCCCCTTCCCATCCCTGGTTCACCTGAGCCCCTGCGCAGCCCCACGGCAGCAGCACCCAGAGCAGACAGGGCAGGACAGGGTGGGTGCTGGGACCCCTTGGGATGGCAGCTCCAGTCCTGCCAGGCTTCAAGACTCCCGTCCTCTAGGCAAGGGCTGGGGCGCAGCAGGCACCTGCTGGGAATGGGCACAGCCCCGCGTGGGCACCGCCCCACGTCCCTCCAGTCCCCACCATGTAACCCAGCGGCAACCATCCCACATGTGCCACTTGCACTGCAGCCCTGGAGGGTGCAGGATTTGGCCCATTTCTGCTCAGAGATGCTGTGGGCCCCCCAGAAACCTGGTTTGGCTGTGATTTGTTCCTGACAATGTCCTGAGTGCACAGAGGATTAATTAGGAGGTGTCCATGTGTCATTAAGCATCCCTTTTCCCTTCAGAGATCAATTCTGGGGACAAACACTGAAGCTGTGGGCCAGTGTGTCCAGGTGAGGGTCCTGCCTATGCCAGCTCATAGCCCCACTCTGGGATGAGAGGACATGGGGCTGCTCGGGTGCCCCGGGAGGTGCCGGCCCCACTGCTGCCAAGTGCCTGGGGGGCTCCTGGGGCCATCTGCCCTCCCGGACCCGTGGCACGGCCATGCCACCCCCACGTTGCCATAAAGCCCAGCATTCAGCATCCTTCTGCACCCGCCTTGGGGCGAGCTGTTCTGTGAAGTGGAGGTGACTCGATATTTGCTTCAAGATATTCTGTATTATAATTAAAATTACTTTTAGTTGCATAAGAAAAATGTTTAAATACACACTTTGAATGACTGTAATTGGATTGTGCTGAAAGTTCAACACACAGTGCAAGTCAGGCAGAGAAATTATCCAAGTGTGAAGGACTATGTTAACTGTCAAGTTAATTTATAGACCTTTTCAAGATCAATAACTATGGTAACAGAAATATAAGTTTCAGAAATTGCACAGTTGTAAATAATTATGCCAATGATTTTTGTAGCTTGAATTAAAATTGACGGGGCAGTAATGATTCTGCACCAGAAACCATCTTCTAACCTGAAACGAGTCCTGCAAAATCTGGCACTCTCTCCCCTGAGACACCGGTGCTCACCTTGGCGTGAGCGGGACGGGGGTAGGGTCCCGGCCGCTGGCAGCAGCTGCCACAGTCCTGCTTGTGCTGAGCATCACATGTTCCTCAAGTATTTTAATCTCTTTAGAAAATCTGGCTCATTGGGCTTCATCTTGCCATGGCAGGAGGGGCACAAAGCCCATGTAGCTGGGTCACTGGCCTGCACGGCTCAGGCCCCCCCTCGGCAGCTCTGGCCACCGGAAACAGCCAGGAGCAGCCAGAAAGGTCAGCCTGTCCAAAAGGATGTGAACGTTCCTTCTACGAGAGCTGACACCCTGAGATTTATTCGCTGCCAGAAAGCTGCTCATGAACCACGAGGGAAACACATTTCCCTCTCCATGGGCAGCCCAAGAGGCGCAGCCCCCTCCGTCTCCGCACCG